GTAGTCTCAGCGCCAACACCCTCAGCAGCACTAGCTCCAGTCGAACCCGTAGGCCCAGCAGTCCAGTACTCCCAGTAGGAGCACCTCCGGGACCCGCGGCAGCAGCACCCTCAGTAGTCGAAGAACCTCCAGCACCAGCAGCACAACTCCAGCGCCGGGCAAACCACTCGCGCAGCTCCTGTGGAGAGAGTGGCTCCCGCAGAGACGAAGCAACCGGAGAACCTCTAGGCGTAGCACCTCCAAGCTCAGCACCCCCAGGCTCAGCACCCCCAGGCTCAGCACCCCCACGTTCAGCACCCCCACGCTCAGCACCCCCAGGCTCAGCACCCCCAGGTGGAGCACTCCCAGGCACAGCACCCCCAGGCGTAGCACCCCCAGGCTCAGCACCCCTAGGCTCAGCACCCCGAGGCTCTGCACCCCCAGTCGCAGCACCCCCAGGCTCAGCACCCCCAGGCTCAGCAACCCGAGCAGCACTAGAGTCATCAGAAACCTCGACAGGCTCGACTGCGTCTACCTGGGACACACCTGAAGGGGCAGGACCCTGAGGGGGGAGGGGGTCTACCGGGGGGGGACCTGGTACAAGGAAGAGCGGGGGGGGGGGGGGGAGGGACGGAGTGCGGTAGGGGAAGAGGCGGTAGTAGGGGACTGGCTCGTCAAATGTGACGTCCTGGGAGGACAGAACACGGCGAGAGGTGGGGTGGTAGAACTTCCACCCGGGCGCGTCAGGGGGGAACCCTAGGAAGACGCAAGAGCAGCACGAGGGGACAGCTTGTCTGCAGACAAGTCGCGGACAAACGCCCGAGATCCCTAGACCCGGAACGCCGACGCATCGCCAACCTTCCCCGTCCCCAGCAAGGCTGGGGAGGTCTCCGGCCTGGAGACCCTGGGGTGTAGGTTGATCTGATGCGCCGCGTACCTCACCGCAAACGGCCACAGAAAATGGGGAGCAGCCGCATGCATCATAGACGTACGAGCGACATCCATGACCATGCCAATGCGGCGCTCAGCAATCCCATTTTTCAGTGGGGATTCCGGAAGCGTGAAGGTCTGACGGATGCCTCGTGCGCGACAGTAGGCTCTCAGAAGGCCAGAGGAAAACTCTCCGCCTCTGTCCGAGTGCAGACGCTGAAAAGGAAAGTCTGAGCCAAAGCTCTGCCTGAGCTGGAGACGAGCTGCGCGGATCCAGTCAATCAGCACCTCAGTAACCTCACCCTTGCTGGGCAAGGGGAAGACTGTGGTGTAACGCGAGTAGTCGTCAACACCGAGCAGGAAGTAGTGCTCCTGACTCTGTCCACGGACGCGGGCTGGGCCCCACACGTCCATGTGAAGCGTCTGCAGCGGGGCCTCTGTCGGAGGAAACTAGGAGGAGTGAGGGGCAGCCCGCTGGCGCCCCTCGACACAGGGGACACAGGTAGGGCCAAGGCCGTGAGGAAGGGGAGGGAGGGATGGGGGGAGACCAGAAACAAGAAGACGAGAGGCCATGCCTCTGAGCCGAAGCAGAGAGGGGTGACCAAGACGGTGGTGCCAGAGGAGAGTCTCGTGAGACAGGAGACGACACGAACAGGGGGCAGACTCAGGACCAGACCCGGACGCTGCAGCAAACACCTGACCCGACGTAGCAACTTGAGGAGACGTAGTGGTCAGTGTGTATAGGTTCGACCCCGGCTGACGGGTAAACGTAGCCAGGTGTGGGCCTGTGCTAGCCTCTGTGCAGTGCGTCACCCGCTGACGCGCAGGAGTGAACTGGTGTACTCCCCCATCCTGTAGGTCAGCACCACTCACCAGGTTCGTAGAGAACGAGGGGAGGTAGAGACCAGACAGGGTGCCAGAGGGAGCCGCCGGACAAGGGAGGACTGTGGAGAAGTGAGACAGGACAGGACCCCCAGAAGGGTCAGCCAGAGACACCGCCACTGGCCGACTAAGCGGCGTGAGTGTGGTGCGGTCCCGAAAGAAGGAGCGAGAAGCTCCAGAGTCAAAGGTGAAGGTGAGGGAGGCCGAAGCCGACGCAGTACCTGAGAGTGCAGACTCACCAGTACCTGAGGACGCACACGCACTAGCACCTAGAGCAGCAGCGTCACAAGCACCTAGGGCAGCAGCCTCACTAGTACCTAGAGCAGCAGTCCCAAGGCCCGGATCGGGCGGGAAGCACCGGTAACAGTCACCCTCATCACTAATAGACACAGCATACATGGCCGAAATAATAGCATCAAAATCAAGATCATAGATAGCAACTCCCGCCCTAGACAGCTCGCCCCAGCGAGGGATCTCTGTGGCCTCCGGGAATTGGCGACGCCACGCGTCCATCAGGCGGCCAAAGCAGCGCTAGGTGGGGTGCGCACCCGCACACTTCTCATTCGCACGGTCGCCGGTGCGCAGGACGTAGGTGCACGGACCAAAACCCCCACCCCCGCTGGCGTGCAGTGTACCACTCACGGAGCTGCTGAGGGGACAGGGTCTCACGACCGTGTTGCTGCTGCTGGCGCTGGCCACCACCGGAATCACTCCTCTATGTAGACCCGCGACCAGCTCCACTGCCACCCCCGCCGCCTCCGCAGCCTCCGCCGCCTCCGCTACCACTGCCGCCTCCGCCGCCGCCTCAACCGCCACCACCTCCGCCACCCCCGCTCCCACCACCACCGCCGCTGCCGCCTCCGCCTCCACTGCCGCCACAAACACCTTCTCCCCCACCTCCACTCCCACCGCCACCCCCACTCCCCCCGTCGCCTGCACCTCCACCGCTCCCGCTCGCTCCTCCAACGCCTTGGCCCCCCTTGCCCTTGCCAGAGCGGCGTCTCCCGCTAGGGGCGGACGCCGCACCGACCGACTCAAGACCAAGGAGGTCGGCCGTAGCAGCAGAGGCAACAGAGGGCAGAAGGGGGGAGGGGGAGCACCCCTCAAAGATGGGGGTGCGCGGGTCACTACGAGAGGCCCCTACAGCGACTATGCTCTTCTCGGCCGCTAGAAGGGACTTCTCGAGGATGTCAATAGTGAGAGTGGTGGGACAGACTGAGAGGTAGTGGTCCCTGACCACGCGAAGGGAGTCAGGGAGGCGAGTGACTATGTAGTAGAGAGTGATGTACATGGGGGGGGGGGTTCTTGGCGCAGAAGTCAGCAGGAAGCGCAGCACGGTAGCGAGTGTCACTAGTGTGGAGGTGCGTAATGAGGTCAGCGACAGTGGGAAAGGCAGTAAGGTCAGGGAAGAGGTACGGCAGCATGAGACGGCTCAGTGCAGCAGTGGCAGGGGAGGAGTAGTGCGCAACTACAGCGTCGTACAAGGACTGAGCACTCTTGTACTGACTAAAGTGCGCACGCTCGGAGGTAGGGAGGTGGCGACGCACAGCAAGACGTGCAACAGCGTTGCGCGTGGCCCACTGGGAGCGAACAGTGGCGTCAGCATCAGCAGCAGGGGCAGGAGAGGCGCCAGAGGTTAGGTCAAAGAGAGAGAGAGCGTCTGCCCTATCGCACTGTAAGAACAGTTGCAGGTCATCTACCCAGACGTCAAAGTCAATGGCTCGACCCTCAGCGTCAAAAGCGAGGACACTAGGGGTAGCCATGACCACAGTAGACTAGCAGTGCAACAGTAGGGTGAGGGCAGTGTAGCAAAAGAGGCACTGTGCTCACCGGACAGGGCAGCTCGGGCGGCTCGGCAGTAGGGCGGCTCGGCAGATCGGCGGCTCGGCTACTGGGCTGCTGGGCGGCTCGGCTGCAGTGCGGCTTGGCGGTCCGGCGGCTTGATTGTACGGCGGCTCGGCTGCTGGGCGGCTCAGCTGCAGGGCGGCTCGGCTGCTGGGCGGCTCGGCTGCAGGGCTGCTGAGCGGCTCGGCGGCTGGCTGTCCGGCTGCTCGGTTGCCCGGGCGGCTCGACGGTGCTGCTGCAGGGCGCCGCGGCGGTCGGCTGCTCGGCTGGGTGGGGCGGGTCGGGAAGCCCGGGTGGCGGGCGGCGCTGCAACAGGTGACGGGGCCGCAGATGAGAGCGGCGGGGCCGCCAACGAGAGGGGCGGGGCCGTAGGTGAAAGCGGCGGGGCCGCAGGTGAGAGCGGCGGGGCCGCAGCAGAGGGCGGCGGGGCCGCAGAGAAGGGCGGCGGGGCCGCAGTTGAGGGCGGCGGGGCCGCAGTAGTTGAGGGCGGCGGGGCCGCAGCAGTTGAGGGCGACGGGGCCGCAGGTGAAAGCGACGGGGCCGCAGGTGAGAGCGGCGGGGCCACAGCAGAGGGCGGCGGGGCCGCAGAGAAGGGCGGCGGGGCCGCAGTTGAGGGCGGCGGGGCCGCAGCAGTTGAGGGCGGCGGGGCCGCAGCAGTTGAGGGTGGCGGGGCCGTAGTTGAGGGCGGCGGGGCCGCAGCAGTTGAGGGCGGCGGGGCCGCAGTAGTTGAGGGCGGCGGGGCCGCAGGTGAAAGCGGCGGGGCCGCAGGTGAGAGCGGCGGGGCCGCAGAGAAGGGCGGCGGGGCCGCAGTTGAGGGTGGCGGGCCGCAGGAGAAGGGCGGCGACGGGCCGCTTGTGAAAGGGCGGCGCGACGCGGCCGTTAGGGCTGCGCTACGCGGCCGTAAGGGCGGCGCGACGGGCCGCTAAGGGCGACGCGACGGGCCGCTAAGGGCGACGCCACGGGCCGCTAAGGAGGGCGCGACCCTAGGCGCGCTTCGGGCAGGGGCAGGACGCGCCCCGGGCAGGAAAAAAAAGGGAGGATCGGTGGGCCCTAGGAACAGTTCCCACGAGGGAACCTGCTCGATACCATGAGAAAGTGAGAACGAGAATGGATGAACTATGAGTGAAGTGGGTACAAGTACTAACCCTAATTGGGTTGTACCCCCTATGGGATACCCCACTACAGCCTACACAAAAGCATAAGCTATAATGTTCTGACACGACGTACTCCTTATAGTCTTCTCCTTCTTTTCCCGCAAAACCCTCACGGCCTCCGCCGCTGTTAGCCGGAAATGGCGCCACTTGGCGAGCTCTAATTCGCTGTGGGAGGACCTGCTGTGATCCGAAGATCCCGAGGGATGGCCGATGGTGGTCTTCGCTGAAACTCAGCTGAGGCTTGGGCGAGGGAGCAGGTGAGGCTCGGGCGAGGGAGCAGGTGAGGCTCGGGGTGAGGGAGCAGGTGAGGTGACATTGAGAATTCCAGAAAAACGTCGAATTTGAGTTGTCCTACTATCTGTTGTGCACGGCGAAGTGGGTGTGGCGAAACAGGAGCGGAGTGAAATGACAGCTGCAAGAAGCACCAACCCCACTGGGCACCCCCATGCACGTGGCAGACCATATGGCAGTGAACTGGAGGCCAGACCCTCGGGAATGACGAGGTGCCGCGAGCAGCAGCAGATGCTGCTGGGGCAGTGCGGCGACAGCAGGATCACGTGCCTGCCGTGGTGTGCCATCTACCGCCTGCGCGCCCAGCTGCCGCCCGCTGTCGTTGTCGATGGTGCGCTGCCCACGCTGCATTCCCCGTGCTCTCATTCCACGCCGCATTCCCCGTGCTCTCATTCCACGCTGCATTCCCCGTGCTCTCATTCCATGTCGCATTCCCCGTGCTCTCATTCCACGCTGCATTCCCCGTGCTCTCATTCCACGCCGCATTCCCCGTGCTCTCATTCCACGCCGCATTCCCCGTGCTCTCATTCCACGCCGCATTCCCCGTGCTCTCATTCCATGCCGCATTCCCCGTGCTCTCATTCCACGCCGCATTCCTCGTGCTCTCATTCCACGCCGCATTCCCCGTGCTCTCATTCCACGCCGCATTCCCCGTGCTCTCATTCCACGCCGCATTCCCCGTGCTCTCATTCCACGCCGCATTCCCCGTGCTCTCATTCCACGCAGCATTCCCCGTGCTCTCATTCCACGCCGCATTCCCCGTGCTCTCATTCCACGCTGCATTCCCCGTGCTCTCATTCCATGCCGCATTCCCCGTGCTCTCATTCCACGCCACATTCCCTGTGCTCTCATTCCACGCCGCATTCCCCGTGCTCTCATTCCATGCCGCATTCCCCGTGCTCTCATTCCACGCCGCATTCCCCGTGCTCTCATTCCACGCTGCATTCCCCGTGCTCTCATTCCATGTCGCATTCCCCGTGCTCTCATTCCACGCTGCATTCCCCGTGCTCTCATTCCACGCCGCATTCCCCGTGCTCTCATTCCACGCCGCATTCCCCGTGCTCTCATTCCACGCCGCATTCCCCGTGCTCTCATTCCATGCCGCATTCCCCGTGCTCTCATTCCACGCCGCATTCCTCGTGCTCTCATTCCACGCCGCATTCCCCGTGCTCTCATTCCACGCCGCATTCCCCGTGCTCTCATTCCACGCCGCATTCCCCGTGCTCTCATTCCACGCCGCATTCCCCGTGCTCTCATTCCACGCAGCATTCCCCGTGCTCTCATTCCACGCCGCATTCCCCGTGCTCTCATTCCACGCTGCATTCCCCGTGCTCTCATTCCATGCCGCATTCCCCGTGCTCTCATTCCACGCCACATTCCCTGTGCTCTCATTCCACGCCGCATTCCCCGTGCTCTCATTCCATGCCGCATTCCCCGTGCTCTCATTCCACGCCGCATTCCCCGTGCTCTCATTCCACGCCGCATTCCCCGTGCTCTCATTCCACGCAGCATTCCCCGTGCTCTCATTCCACGCCGCATTCCCCGTGCTCTCATTCCACGCCGCATTCCCCGTGCTCTCATTCCACGCCGCATTCCCCGTGCTCTCATTCCACGCGGCATTCCCCTTGCTCTCATTCCATGCCGCATTCCCCGTGCTCTCATTCCACGCCGCATTCCCCGTGCTCTCATTTCACGCCGCATTCCCCGTGCTCTCATTCCACGCTGCATTCCCCGTGCTCTCATTCCATGCCGCATTCCCCGTGCTCTCATTCCACGCCACATTCCCTGTGCTCTCATTCCACGCCGCATTCCCCGTGCTCTCATTCCATGCCGCATTCCCCGTGCTCTCATTCCACGCCGCATTCCCCGTGCTCTCATTCCACGCCGCATTCCCCGTGCTCTCATTCCACGCCGCATTCCCTGTGCTCTCATTCCACGCCGCATTCCCCGTGCTCTCATTCCACGCCGCATTCCCCGTGCTCTCATTCCACGCAGCATTCCCCGTGCTCTCATTCCACGCCGCATTCCCCGTGCTCTCATTCCACGCCGCATTCCCCGTGCTCTCATTCCACGCCGCATTCCCCGTGCTCTCATTCCACGCTGCATTCCCCGTGCTCTCATTCCATGCCGCATTCCCCGTGCTCTCATTCCACGCCGCATTCCCCGTGCTCTCATTTCACGCCGCATTCCCCGTGCTCTCATTCCACGCTGCATTCCCCGTGCTCTCATTCCACGCCGCATTACCCGTGCTCTCATTCCACGCCGCATTCCCCGTGCTCTCATTCCACGCCGCATTCCCCGTGCTCTCATTCCACGCCGCATTCCCCGTGCTCTCATTCCACGCCGCATTCCCCGTGCTCTCATTCCACGCCACATTCCCTGTGCTCTCATTCCACGCCGCATTCCCCGTGCTCTCATTCCATGCCGCATTCCCCGTGCTCTCATTCCACGCCGCATTCCCCGTGCTCTCATTCCACGCTGCATTCCCCGTGCTCATTCCATGTCGCATTCCCCGTGCTCTCATTCCACGCCGCATTCCCCGTGCTCTCATTCCACGCCGCATTCCCCGTGCTCTCATTCCACGCCGCATTCCCCGTGCTCTCATTCCACGCCGCATTCCCTGTGCTCTCATTCCACGCCGCATTCCCCGTGCTCTCATTCCACGCCGCATTCCCCGTGCTCTCATTCCACGCCGCATTCCCCGTGCTCTCATTCCACGCCGCATTCCCCGTGCTCTCATTCCACGCCGCATTCCCCGTGCTCTCATTCCACGCCGCATTCCCCGTGCTCTCATTCCACGCCGCATTCCCTGTGCTCTCATTCCACGCCGCATTCCCCGTGCTCTCATTCCACACCGCATTCCCCGTGCTCTCATTCCACACCGCATTCCCCGTGCTCTCATTCCACGCCGCATTCCTAGCCTCTCCCCGCCTCTTTACTCTTATCCACGCCTCTGGACACCTCTCCACGCCGCGCCCTGCCTCTTTCCACGCCTCTCCACGCCCCTATACAACCTTTAATTGAGTGTGTGTGGGAGTGCAGGCGGGTCGGGGTACTGCAAGTTTGGCATGAGCAACGACGCAGCGCCATCAGGACGCATCGCCACCTTTCTGGTCAGTCCGTTTTGATAATTGTCTGAAGCACGTCTGGTTTGCCACATGGGAGCTCCCTCCCGTTCTGCTTCGTACCATTCGCTCTTCTTTTATTTCCTGCCATTAAGTACGTTTTCTCACATTTGTTGCTCTCCCACCCACCATGCTGTGGTTGCTGGGAGAGCGGCACGCTGTGGTTGCTGCCACCCAAACCAGGAGTTTGGAAACATCGAGGCACCTTCCCTCGCCCACCTTCGAGCCCTCTTCTCCTCCATCTATGCCAGGTACTTAATGACTTCAGCATACCTTTCAAGTGGTGCAGACATGCATGCAAAGGATGCAGGCACATGTTGTGCCTTGTGCCTTACCTTCAGTACTCCTTGTAACATTCCCAATGATATCCCTTTTTCCTTCCATTTTATTCCCTTAATATCAATCCCTCCTATGCCCTTCCCTCCATTTCCCTGTCTTCCCTCGCCGTCTTCTTCCCTTCACCCGTCCCGTTCTTTGTTCTTCTGCATTCTTGCTTCCCTCCATTTCCCTCTCTGTCGCCCATGCTTCTTCCCCATCTATCTCCATCCGCCCTCACAGCATGCGAGCCATTCCCGCCAACCACCCTGTTGTCCTCTCCGAGCCTCTCGCTTTCCTGCCAGGTGACTCTCTCGTGCCACCTGCCAGGTGAATTTGTCATGCCACCTGCCAGGTGACTCTCTCGTGCCACGTGCCAGCCGTTACGTGTTGTTTCCTTCGAAGTGCTTCTCTGCTGGCATGCGTCCACCTACAGGGTAGAAGTGTTGCTAATCTGCAATTCATCATGCCTGCCTGCATTCTCAACGTGACAGCCTGCCCTCACCCTGCCCGCCCTCCCATCCTCCCCATGCCCATCTCTCCTCTGCACACACAGAAACGCGCGAGGCGCAGGAGGGGAGGCGGCATCTGAGGGAGGTGACATGTGCCGTGCTCTTCAGTGCCCTACGCGTGCCCTCCATCTGCCTTGTCGACCAGGTAACCCCATGCAACCAGGTAACCCCATGCGACCAGGTAACCCCATGCGACCAGGTAACCCTATGCAACCAGATAACCCCATGCGACCAGGTAACCCCATGCGACCAGGTAACCCCATGCGACCAGGTAACCTCATGCGACCAGGTAACCCCATGCAACCAGGTAACCCCATGCGACCAGGTAACCCCATGCGACCAGGTAACCCCATGCGACCAGGTAACCCCATGCGACCAGGTAACCCCATGCGACCAGGTAACCCCATGCGACCAGGTAACCCCATGCAACCAGGTAACCCCATGCGACCAGGTAACCCCATGCGACCAAGTAACCCCATGCAACCAGGTAACCCCATGCGACCAGGTAACCCAATGCAACCAGGCTAAGTTCGGAAAGACGCAGCTAGGATGCAGGACGCACGTCGAAAAAAAAATTCGGGCAGCCCGAAAAAAAAATCGATTGCGATTCGCGTCGAAATCGCGAAATTTCCCCACCCCAAGCCCAATTCAAAACCAGCCCCCCTAACATTCCCTGAGGAGGGCCAAGTGGGGAAGTGAGGAGGGCGGGGGTGGTGGAGGGTAACATTCCCACCCCTCCCCTCCCCAAGGGATACAAGTTGGAGGAGGATGGGGAGAGGGAGGTGGACGAGGACGACCCGGCAGTCGACGAGTACAAGGACCAGGAAGCGATGGACGAAGAGGAGAAGGAGAGCGAGGATGATGGGGATGCGTGATGGTTGACTTGATGCAGTGCAGTGGTAGTTTAGTATGCATGGTCGTAAATGGTTGGATTAAACGTAATGTGTGTGTGAGAGACCTTGTGAAATGTGTGACACGTGACTCACCTTAATCTCAAATTTTGGGGGAAAATTTTGTGGTTGGGGAAAATTTTGTGGTATGACACCCCCCCCCCCCCTCTCCCAAGCCCTATACAATTTTTTTGGCCTGCCCTGGGGTTTTTTTTTCCCTGCCCGGGCTTGCGTCTTTTGGTGCGTCTTACAGGTCAAGGGTCAGCGTCCTGCGTCTAGACGCATGCGTCCAGGACGCAGGACGCGTCTTTCTGAACATAGCAACCAGGTAACCCCATTCCACCAGGTAACCCCATTCCACCAGGTAACCCCACACTCTGATACCAAATATGTCTACTTTAACTAGTTACTTCTTTATACGTCCACTCTGTCGCCATCCCCACTCCCCCTCGCCCATCCCTTCTCCCTTCACCGTCTCATCTGTCATCCATGCCCCTCTCTCCTCCCTTTCCCTTCCGTTGCCACCCACCCAGGCCACCCTGGCCCTGTTGGCAGCGGGGGCAGCATCAGGCGTGGTGGTGAACATTGGCTTCCGCAGCACCACAATACTTCCCATCATGCGAGGCAGCACCGCATGCAGCCTGCTGCCCTTGTACTGCCTGCCGCTGGGCGCCATGCGAGTCACGGGGCACCTCAGCCAGTTACTGCACGATTCTGGGATCGTGTGCCAGTCCATGTTCACCTGGGATCGTATGCCAGTCCATGTTCACCTGGGATCGTGTGCCAGTCCATGTTCACCTGGGATCGTGTGCAAGTCCATGTTCACCTGGGATCGTGTGCCAGTCCATGTTCACCTGGGATCGTGTGCCAGTCCATGTTCACCTGGGATCGTGTGCCAGTCCATGTTCACCTGGGATCGTGTGCCAGTCCATGTTCACCTGGGATCGTGTGCCAGTCCATGTTCACCTGGGATCGTGTGCCAGTCCATGTTCACCTGGGATCGTGTGCCAGTCCATGTTCACCGTGCGCACCGTCAAAGAGGTCACTTCTATCGTATCATTTATTGCCTTAGTTGCGTTACTGAAGGCGCTTGCCTAGGTGTGTTACTGAAGGCGCCTGCCTAGGTGTGTTACTGAAGATGCCTGCCTAGGTGTGTTACTGAAGGCGCCTGCCTAGGTGTGTTACTGAAGGCGCCTGCCTAGGTGTGTTACTGAAGGCGCCTGCCTAGGTGTGTTACTGAAGGCACCTGCCTAGGTGTGTTACTGAAGGCGCCTGCCTAGGTGTGTTACTGAAGGCGCCTGCCTAGGTGTGTTACTGAAGGCGCCTGCCTAGGTGTGTTACTGAAGGCGCCTGCCTAGGTGTGTTACTGAAGGCGCCTGCCTAGGTGTGTTACTGAAGTCGCCTGCCTAGGTGTGTTACTGAAGGCGCCTGCCTAGGTGTGTTACTGAAGGCGCCTGTCTAGGTGTGTTACTGAAGGCGCCTGCCTAGGTGTGTTACTGAAGGCGCCTGCCTAGGTGTGTTACTGAAGGCGCCTTCCTAGGTGTGTTACTGAAGGCGCCTGCCTAGGTGTGTTACTGAAGGCGCCTGCCTAGGTGTGTTACTGAAGGCGCCTGCCTAGGTGTGTTACTGAAGGCGCCTGCCTAGGTGTGTTACTGAAGGCGCCTGCCTAGGTGTGCTACTGAAGGCGCCTGCCTAGGTGTGTTACTGAAGGCGCCTGCCTAGGTGTGTTACTGAAGGCGCCTGCCTAGGTGTGTTACTGAAGGCGCCTGCCTAGGTGTGTTACAGGCTCCTCTTCTTATTATTCCTCGCATCCCTGCCCTCAGTTTCTCATGGCTCACAGGCTCTCGCAATAACTTTCAGCACCCCACTGCATCATGCTTGTCACCCCAACCCCCTCCCTCCCCTCCCGCAGTCGCTGTGCTTTGTGGCGCACGACTTCCAGGCTCTTGCTGTAACTTTCTGCACATCTTCATTCTGCATCCCACTCCTTCCTGCTTTTCACCCCAACCACCCCCACCCCCCCCTCCCTCCTCCCACAGTCGCTGTGCTTTGTGGCGCGGGACTTTGAGGCAGCGAGGAGGGGCGAGGAGAGGGGGGTGCGGGGCACGTGTGAGGTGCCGGGGGAGGGCGCCTTCACTCTCGCCAGGGAGCGCTTCCTCGCCCCTGAAGTGCTCTTTCAACCTCACCTCTGTGGCCTGTACGTTTACTTTCCCCAATGTGGTCAATGGGGTCAATGTGCTCTATCAGCTGTTTTATCTTGTGCTCACATGGTTGTTCTTCTCTCCTTGCTGCTGCGTGCGTGTGACAACCTAATTGACCAGGGTTCGTAGTCTTCCCCGTTGATTTCCCCTCACTCGTTTCGTCTCCCCCCCCCACTCACACGTGCTTTTCTCCCTCTCACCCCACGCCCTCACCCCCTCCTCCTCCTCCTCCCTTCCCCCATCAGCGGCGGCAGGGGCATACAGCAGGCAGTGGCGCAGTGCATAGTGGAGTGTGCTGCCTCGGTGAAGGCGTTTCAGGCACAGCAGGACTGGAAGGCCCGACACAGCCACGCGGGAGAGGCACCGGCTGCAGATGAGGAGAAGGAGAAGGAGAAAGGGGGGGAGGAGGGTGAGCGAGTGCCTGGGTCGGGGCCAGGGGGTGAAGGTACCACGAGGCGGGTGGGAAGTGGGGAGGGGGAGGCAGGGGCGGGTGGGGGGGTGTGGGGGCGAGTGCCTGCGCCACTGTCAAGTGAGGATGTGGCGGAGGCGATCGGCACCGTGGTGGTGGCGGGGGGCACGTCTGCGCTGCCAGGGATAGCAGGTGGGGCCCTTTGTTCCTTCGTACAGCCTCCGAGTGGGAATGACGAGAGTTTATACGATGATGTTTCTCTGTGAAAAGCCTTCCTGTATCTGTTCCGCTAACCTGATTTTCCGCTGCTGTCCTCTTCTGTGCCTCTGCTGCTCTTGTTGATTCACCCCCGTTGGTCCCATCCCATCCGCACAGAGCGGCTTCATCTGGAGCTGCAGCGCCTGCTTCCCCTGCCCCTCGCTGACAGACTCACTGTGAAGGCAGTGGGGTCGTATGGTGCATGGATGGGCGGCAGGACCGTTGCCACTGTGAGTGTTATTGGCTGTGACTGATCACTTTGTTACGACCGTATGTGTGACTTCTATAAATGATCCTTCTAATATATGTTTCTTCTTCCCGTGCTTTTTGGAATGCAGACGAGCTCGTTTTTATCAGCATGGGCGCTAAGCAGGGAGGAGTATATGGAGAAAGGACCGTCTTCTGTTCATGCCCTTGCCATGGATACGCACAACATGAACAGCCAGGCTCTTCCTGTTGTAAGAATATTCCCCAAGCATTGATGGAGAGTGTAACATATGATGAAGTGTGATATTGCCACAACGTTTTCATGAAAGGCTGTAGCCACTAGATGTGTGCTGGTTGTCTTCAAAATAATTTAGTGGGAACGGTTTTTTGCATGTAGCCACCAGTTGTCGAAGTGTAGCAAGTTTATGACTATCAAGGCAGATTTGTAGAGATGGCCGGCTGTGCTGATTCGCGTCGCGCTGACATGAAGCTACTCCAATCGGTACTAAAACATATGCTCTAGACCCTATCTCGCAGCTTTTAGAATGCACCGCTCAGTCTCCCATCCTTGCAGTCGTTATCGAGCCATGTTTCTCAAATGATGTCCATCATTCACTGCTGAAGCTCGTCGTCGCTCACATCAGAGTAGCAGCAATGGCCGCTGCTGGCGAGAATCTCGATACTGACGCTATGAATGCTCGCAGAAGCGATGACCTCACGAGCACCATATCAACCCACATCTACCAAAACAGCAGCGTCATTCCAAGTATGCCTCTTACCAGCAACAACCCAATCAATGGTTCCGATTCTCGTTCGCTAGACCAACTTCCATCCGACGTACTCTCTATAGTCTTCTCCTTCCTTTCCGGAAAATCCCTCGCCACCGCCGCTGCTGTTAGCCGGAAATGGCGCCACTTTGCGAGCTCTGATTCGCTGTGGGAGAACCTGCTGCAATCCGAAGATCCCGAGAGATGGCCGATGGTGGTCTTCGCTGAAACTCAGCTGAGGGTAGGGCGAGGGAGAAGGTGAGGCTCGCGTGAGAGAGCAAGCGATGTGACATTGAGAATTCGCCGTCGAGTGTGAGATGCTATACCACGTGTGAGATGCTGTACTATGTGTCTTGAAATCCTTACTTGAGTGGCGACGCGGGTGAGGCGAAACAGGAGCGGTGTGCAGTGTCAGCCCAGGGAGCACGAATGCCAGATGCACCAACCCCATGGGACGGAACGCATCTGCTCTTCTGCCCCTAGTGCCATTGCTTGTCCCGTCCCCACACTCCCCCGTGCACCCAGCAGGCCAAATGACGGCGAATCTCAAGCCGGCCTGCCGTGGTGTGCCATCTACCGCCTGCGCGCCCAGCTGCCACCGGCTGTCGTTGTCGATGGTGCGCTGCCCACGCCGCATCTTCCCTGCTCTCATTCCACGCCACATTCCTAGCCTCTCCATGCCTCTCCACACTTCTCCACCCCTTTTCATGCCTCTCTATGAACTCTGGTACCCAGGCATCAAATATATGTGTGTGTGTGGGGGGCAGGGCCCTTGCTAACTTTTAGGCCCGTCTGACGTTTTCCAAAAAAAAAAAAAAAAAAAATCGTCTGGCCCTCATATGGAGGATTCCTGGTGGTCTTTACCTCAGACGGATTTTCTAAGTTAGTATGTCCGCTCAGACAGATTTTTACGAAATCAGACATTTATTTAACTATGTAGTCTTCTCTACACACAGACTATACTCTATTACTACAGATAACCATACAAAGAAAACGAACTAGGATTCACTATCGCTATCATGAGAATAATATTCCTCATCGTCCCCATCTAGCTCTGAATCTGAAGCCATGTGCACTTTGCAGTTGCCTGTCCATCTCTGCCAGGGGCCCAACTCCTCCTCTAGCCTGGCTGCTTCTTCTGCAACCGCTGCTTCACGAGCAGCAGCATCTGGTGCTGCTGGTGCTGCTGCTGCTGCCGCCTGCTTCGCGGCCAGCATCGCAAGGGTCTTCTTCGTGCGCTTCACGGGCCTCTGCGCATGCACCATCACCACATCCTTGGCTGGACGCCTCCTCTTCGCGCCTCTCCACAGCTTCACAAGGGCGGGCCAGTCAGGTTTGTACTTCAGCATGGAGACGGTCATCTGGTCGCCCAGCTTCGCGTCGTTAAGATTGCCGCGTAGCCAGCTCTTGATGATGTTATGGCGGGAGAAGCCCCGCTCGCACTCCACGGTGCTCAGGGGCAGCACTGCGACTGCCATCCAAAGGCGGACCAGGTTGGGGTAGGCAGTGCACCAGTCGAGGGAGCTGAGCATCTGCTTCAGGCCGTCCTGGAAGCTCAGCTCCTGCTGATGGGATGACATGATGGTGGTGAAACTGCTGAGCTCCTTCTGTGCCCTCGTCCAATTGACTCCTAGTGGCAGGGTGCGAATCAGAAAGAAGTGTAATGTTAGACCACGCTGGTGTTCATAAGTCATCAGGCTCAAAGAAATCAACGAGGCATATGGCGACACAAACAACATGTTCGACTCAATCAGGCACATCCGACATCGAAGACGTACCTGGCAGGGTGTCAGGGTCGGTCGGTTTTTGCTTAAACAGATTGCGGAGAGCCTCCAGCCACTGCAAGAACCGCCGCTGCCGCTTCGAGTGAGATTTCGGGTACGCCCCCTGCGTGAACAGCTTGGCGCCCTCGAGAGAGCCCAAATCCTTCATCCGGCTCTCCAAACGCTTCAGTAGCTCCTTCATGTACCCCTTCGCCAGTGTGATGCAGTCGTCCAAGCCCCCGCCAGATTTCTGACCTTTAATCTTCTGCTCATGGAGGGTGTACTCATGAGTGGTTGGCGCCCCAGTCGAGTCGGTGCCCGTCACCTTCACCACCCTCTTCTCCGACGACGCATGCTTCGCCAAAAATGCGCTCAGCTCGTTGCTCCCCTCTCCGAAGTCGTCCGCGTCACTCAGATAACGTTTGTCGAGGGTGAGCCTGGTGCTGTCCACCATCTGCAGCACGTGTGTCACGTCGACCTGCCACACACATGAGAGGCAGTGGAAAGGCTTGCACGGGTCAGTGTCACAGAAATTTGGTTCAACAACACAATAAAAAACCCGTCAAAGCAACGTGCGTAACAACGTACTTACCGTCGCTGGAACTTGAGGTTGAGTGCGTCGAGTTCCTTCAACACATCAGCCAAGAAAAACAACAGGAAGTGGAATTTCAAGCTGGTTAGAAGGAGGTAGGCCTTCGGGTCATTCTCGTACAGCAGAATGACAGCTGTTGGAAGGTTGTCCGCCAGACGCTGAACCGCCAGACCACGTGAAAGCCACCTAACGCTGTGGATGCCCTGCAGCTCCAGGTTTGTTTGGCAGAGCACCTCCTGCAGCTCTTTGAAGCGTAGGTGGAAGTTGCCCGACTGTCCAAGCTGCTCCGCCGAGGAGCGGACGACCCTGTCGACGAGGTCAAGGTCGGGGTAGGCCTCGGCAGCATCCTTTGCCGCCAAAGCTTCCCTCACACAACACTGGAAAAACGATAAGCTAGATAAACAGGCAACGCATGGAAAAAATAACAGATGTTGGGTTACACACCTGTGCGCGACGCAGTGGAACCCGGCGAGGTGTGGAATCCGTGTTCGAAGGCGCGCCACCAGGCCCGTCTGAGAACCGACCATGACGCTTGCACCGTCGGTGCTGATGCCACTGACGCGTTCACATTCGAGGCCGGTTCCTTCTAAGTGGGTTAGAAGGACTGCCTGCAGGGAACCAGCATCGCACTGCTCAACCGTTAGGTGCGCGAAGAATTCAGTGACTGGCGTGTTGTTGCGGAGGAATGACAGATAGACGATGAGGTGTTTTCTGTGTCGACGGTCCGTGCTCTCGTCCAACTGAATGCCCAGGTAAGGACTCTCCCGGATGTGCTTCATCTGTTGAGCACGAAGGTAGACGATGAGTGTCTCTACCAACTGCGCGAACCCGTACCTGCAACGATAAGAAACAACCTTCTTAGAAACAAGCGGGTCCCCCAAAGCATACCAACACTTACTCGCTGTAGTATGTGCCGGAATCCTTCAGGGGCATGTCCGGCGTGCCCATTTCTGCCATGAATTGGACCAGCGACACAAACAGCACAATTGGTGAGTCACTTCTGCAAATTAAAATAACTGTTGCCAACAGTTTTGTCAAACGGTTGGCTTCCGCGTCACCGTTTTCGAAGTCGACAATAGTCTTCTGAGCCGCATTCTTGCCGTCTCGTAGCTGTTGTCGGTCCACTGCCGCCTCATGCTTGATCGAATATTGGTGCTTCCGCATCGTCTGTCATTGAATGTCGAGCCCACCCTCCCCGTCGCGGCCGTACTGGTAGCTGGGGTCACCATGCACCATGCAGATTGAGCACCTCATACAAGGTTGACCCCATGAGGTCTGCGAGATGATGAGCCACGGGAAGTGCTTGAGCCATTTCTCCTTCGCCTTCTCCTGCCACTGCTCGACGGTCAGGACGTGGGGGTACTTGTCGTCCTTATCGGCGGCGGCGGGTTTTGATGGGCCTGGACGAGGTGTGAAGCGGGGGACGGTAGGTGGGGCGACACCTGGAGTGGGACGGGAAAAACTGAGAACACGCTGTTTGAAATTGCCGTTCCCAACTCTAACGCGAGAAAAAGAGATTGCAAGTGCGGTGGTAGCCACAGATGCCGAAACGGGCGGGGGCGACTACTCAGCTTCAACCGTGCTAGGCTGGGTCGAGGTCTCTGCCGCATCTGACGTGGATGGCGAGGGGATAATAGGCTCGTTGTTGCAGGACGAAATGACGTTGGGGGGAGGAATTACAGGCGGAGGAGTCCCTACTGCGGCAGATGTGGTTACTGGAATCGCGGCGGGAGCTTTCCGCGTTAAGAAATCTAACGCAGATACCAAGGGCGCCTCAAGTACCGCGGGTGAATCACGCTTAGCGTTGTCGGTTGAGGCGGGTGCGCCATGTTCGGCTAGCATGGTGTGGTGTGGTGAGACACATGAGGACGGGACGGGACGAATTGAAACGGAGAGAGAGCAAGGATGGTCAAAGAAAGGCTTGG